TGCTTTTCAAAGTCTAATCTCCATGTCAGCTCTTCAACTCACTTCTTCAACCATTGGTGGTTGTTGAGTTCACCCGACATCCTTGTTGGAAAAATCAAGGTTTCCTTCAACTTCTCTCACTTTGTCCACACCCTCAAGCCTCTTTACTGCAGCCTTACGAAACCTTAATCTCAATTCCAAACCCTGTATCTCATCTTCCCCTTGTTTTGCCTACAAATACCCCAAAATAAAGTAACAAACCTTCTAACTAAATCATAAAAATATACATTTTTTTGTAATAAAAGGATTAGAACCAACTATGTTAAGTTACATACCAATTTCAAGGCAACCTGGCTTTCAGCGGTTACTGCTTATAACGTCAGGTCTTTATCTTTTTCCCTCCTAAAAGCACCAACAAGGGCTACTTAATATTCTTTCTTCTACAAATAAATTACACACAACCTCAACATTTTTAGAATTACATCTTCTAAACATCTTTCATTCCAAATGCCAAAAAAAGCAACTACTATATAAGAAATAACACTTAATCACAAACACTGTATTTTCAATATATTTCTTAGTGTACTTTTGGAAAATCTACTCAATTATAATAACTTGGGAATTTTTTTTAAGAATAAACAATAAATGAATGTTGGTAACTGTAATAAGCAAATAGAAGAAACTGATTTTCAACTGAAACAGAAAATTAAAAAGTTTATGACTTTATTTTATCAGTAACAATAACAAGTACCTGCGACATCCGTTTAAAAACAGTAACTGGACTAAATGATCCTTGAAACCCTTCCCATCTGAAGCCTCCCGGAGATCCCACCGCCCAAGCATCATTTTCATGATTTCCAGTTCCAGTTCCCCCATTAATCACGCTTTGCAACTGAGATACTTCTCCCTAATAAGCACAAAATCTTCAATTACAACCAACACCATAACATATATATATATATATATATATATATATATATATATATATATATATATATATATATATATATATATATATACAAACACACACACACACACACACACACACTGGGTAGATTTTTTTCAAAGTACAAAAAAGAAATATAGAATTTGGTTAAGGGATGAAGGTGTTAATGAAAAAAGATATATAAGTAAAACCTGATTAAATGCAAGCAATAACACAAAAGAGTATGGAACACAAACCTCGGATACAGTTTATGGCTTCGATCTCAACATCTTTAAAGAGATAAATAGAGAATTAAATTAGTACCTGAAGCATAATGTATCTTTCAAGTTCTTCATTCTGTCGATCAAGTTCAGTTGTGAAACTATCACCAAAAGAAGACATAAGTGGTGCTGCTCCAGTCATGCTTCCACTTGCTGAAGTGATTAAGGAGTTTCTTTCCTCATCATCATATGATAATTTCAAACCAGTGGATACAATATGTGGGTTTGGAATGCTTGACGGGTGATCAGATTCTTCATTATAAAATTTTTGGTTCAATGATCTCGGAAGCTTTTTCTGCATTAAATTAGTATCAACTTCCCTTGATTGTTTATTGGGCCATAAGGCAAGGCTATTATGCTCTCTACCATAATAATTTATTGGATCAACATGATGTGTGGCTGGAACTGTCATATGTAAAATCAAACATCAGATAACACAGGGTAAAGAGTGATTCATTAATCTTAGAATCATGGAAACTCACCATTTCCAAATAGTTGCAATTGGTTTGAAGGATGCTGAAAGACACTACTAGAAAAATAGCTTTCTGATATCTGTAATAACACATTTTCAGGGTATTATTACTCATGATTTTAATCCCGTATTAATATATATATATATATATATATATATATATATATATATATATATATATATATATATATATATATATATATATATGAAACTTACTGTTCCACTTGAGCTGAAAATTGTGTGATTTTCTGCGTGCATTGGTTTGTAGAAGTTGTTACTTCTTCACCCAGAAAAAGATCAGATGCTTTATTATAGTAAGCAATAGCTTGCTCCAAATTTTGCTCATGTTCATATAACTCAGCAATTTCCTACATAGTGAAACCAAATTATATAAAAACTAAATTAAAATTAATAAATAAAAAAATAAATAAATGATAATCCTATGATGTATGTACCTTGCAATATCTGGCAGCCATGCTGAGTCTTCCAATTTCCATGAAACTGTTTAATGCTTGCTCTAGGTTAACTATGCACATTGCAGACATTTAAGATAACAAGAAAAAGAAAACAGTTTTTTAGATATCCAGGAAAAAAATGGATTAAAAATCATTATCTTTTTAGTTTATACCTTTGCTGCTTGTTTTCTTGTATGAGTGAGCTGCATCAGCATAAGCACTAGCAGCTTCATGTTTGCTATCCATCTAGAAAAAAAAACACAAAATCAAGATTATAATGGGGTTCATAAACTGATGATAGAATTGGCAAGCTTGTAAGAATTGGCAGCTTTTTCTTTGCAAGTTTATACCTTGATCTTAGCTAGAACCGAACTAGAACTAATAATGAGGTAGTTTTGGGGAGCATAGACATATCCTAGGAAGGAGGCAAGTTTACCACATCAATAGATTCAATCATAACACTTCCCCACCTAAAGAGAGGTGAGGAGTCAGATGTGACTCATATCACAAATCATAACATACCAATTAACATCACAAATATAGAGAGTGGTCAGAATGACCAAGAGCATTCCAGTAATTGAACTCATCCGCATCTCATTCCAGAACTAACATGCAACATCTCTTGAGTATCAATATAATTAGAATTTATAGAAGTAGATGTGTTGCTTGTGATCAATGTGTTTGATAGAGCAAAGATCGAACTATTAACCACCTGTCACACAAAAAACATCAAGTGAGTCATCATAATTCATCACAGAACAAAAATTTCTATTCAATTAAGAGAAAATAATCAAAGTTGTTACAAGCAAACATAGTTTAAATGCAGGGAATAAGGTAAAGTATGCAATCTAGCAATCTTAAAAATTAAAGAATTGTAGGTGTTACAGGAAAAATTAAGGTATCAGTGAAGAAGAAGGAAATCACCGCAACTAAAACAGACATTTCATCAATAAATATTAGACCCAAGATCCCTGAAGCATTCCCATTTAGGACTGCAAAGAAAGCACTTACACTTTTTCAAGAGACCAATTATCCTTCCTGTTTAACCATGAAAACAAAAGGCAGAACATAAAACATTTAAAATAAGGTAAAGCGTAACAACTTGTATGTACAAGAACTTGAAAGATACATAAATCTCGAGACTTAAAAAATTGATATGTTTGACCATGAAAAGTCAACATCATCTTTTTGTTAACAGAAGTAAAAAACGATGTATCACAATCCGAAACCCTAAATTCACATCAATCTTGAAATTATTATAATATGAATTTTAACATTTAAGAGAATAAAAGTAGAAATTTTACCTGCAATGAGTAGCAAACTGCCATTCTCTTCAGTCTCAGCTCCTCCAAGAATGGATACGCTTTGGCGAGAACACTCAACCATGGATGAACATCAGCTCCCCTCTCATCCGGTACTAAATTGAAAGCTGGAAACCTCGGTTTCCCCTTCAAGGTTACGCTCCGAATCTGAGGAATCCTCTTAGCTACAATCTTTGGCGGCGTCGAGTAGTAATTTCCGATAAACACATGATGTTTGCTCCACCGCTCAGCGTTGTAACAATCTTTACATACTAGAGACACGAAACTGCGGTCCTTGTGAGAGTTTATCGGCGAGATTTCTCCAAAAACTTCAATCAATTGTGGAGGCAGTTTTAGGAGTTTGACATTATGGGAGGTGGGAGCGTATTCGCAGGGGAAGGCGGAGGGATAAAAATCATTCCAAAGCTTGATCAGTACTGGGAGAGGGGATGCATCAGGTGCAAGATACACACGCATCACGCATCAGGACCTAGGGCTTGTAAGTAAAACAAAAAATCATGAGAAACCTTCATCGCCGGAAAGAAATATTGTAGATGGAAGAAACTCTTGTGGGAGAGAAAGCAAGAGTCGATTTGAAGCAACCGACAAATGAAATTGAAAGGTAGAGGCACTACACTCTTTTTTTTGTTCGTGTCACCACACATCAACATAGAGAAATCAAGAACCCCTACGGTTTGATCTGTTCAAAAGACGGGATCAGAGATTTGGTGATATTGCGATTTTGTTGTGGGAGAAAAGAGGATTGGTGATAATATTAGGTTTTTTTTTGGGTATTAGAGTGTGAGAGAGAGAGAGAGAGACTGAGAGAGAGAGAGAGAGAGAGAGAGAGAAAAGAACGATGGAAATAAGGGAGAGGATAACAATGGCGGCCTTTCAAACTTTTGGGATTTTTGTTCCCCCCCCCCCCCTCCCGGCTGCAAAAGAAGAGAAAGCGCCTTTCATTAAAAAAAATATAAAGTGACATTTCTAGACGACGCCCATTTTTAAGTAAGTGCCCTCCGTGTTTTTAATTTTTTTGTTGGACATTAAATTTAGGGCGTGCACAAAAGCGTGTCTTTTATCCTTCAAATTTTAGAAGATATGAAATTATTTTTAGGGTACACGCTTTTGCGTATCGTAAATCACGGCGTGTCATTGTTTGCGCGTCATTAAAGGGCTGTTTTCTAGTAGTGAACCTTGCTTCCACTCTAAGTAGACTTCGACAACAGTCCCCGAGTTGCTCATACAAGATCATAGAAAAAGAGGCCGTCAGCCGTTTCCCGGGAAGGAGCTCCTGGAAAGACGCTTTGATGGTCAAGTCAGTAGGGTTTAGAGAGTTTGTATGTGTGTAGCTTGGAGAAGGCGTCTTACCTACCAGGTTCATGAGCTTTTCATTTTATTCTCAACGATCCTTCTCGTCCGTACGAGACAGGATCTGCTCAGTCGACAGGATCAAGGGCGCTGATTGGAGGATCGTGCTCCTATACTTGTCAGAGCGTATCCATTGGTCCTGGCGGTAATGCTCTGATCCCTTGCTTTGTCCACTGACAACATCTTTTGTCGTGGAGCTCTGGGGCGCCTTTGGTGGGCGCGAGCCTCTTGCGAGGACGCCTTTGACGGGCGCGAGCCTCTTGTGAGGATGTCTTTGACGGGCGCTTATCCTTTTGCTAGAGCGCCCTGCCCTAAGGGGCGTTGGCGGGCTCTAAGCTCGTTGGGCCTGGTCTGCCGGATGCGCCAGCCTTCTGAGCTGGGCGCAACCCTTTTGTGCTAGCTGGGGCACGTTATCATATACCTTTCCAGAAAGTAGCAAGCATGAGCTATCAAAAATCTTCGCTAAAAGCTACACTAGAAACAATTAAAAGAGCAAAACAAAACAAAATATTTTTGGATTTTTTTTATTTTTGAAAGAAAATTACAAGAATAAGAAAATCTTTTGATATTTTTGAATTTTATGAACAAAGAACAAAAATGAAAAATCTTTTTTTTTTGTTTTTGATTTTTAATGAAAAATAGCAAACTATAAAAATGTATCTGACTAGCGAAAATAAGACAATGAAAAAAGTAGCTAAGATTTTGATAAACCATTGTGCATTATGTCGAAATCGAAGCATGTCGAAGCATTAACTGTGACCAGTAACCGTTGAATCAACATTTCCCCACCCCTTTAGCTTGTTATTCTAACGAAATAAGTCCTAGAACTGAATTTGCTTCGATCATTCCTAATCACGTCAGGATTCATACGAAAGATTTTTCATCTAATGGCTTTGTAAAGATATCTGCAAGCTGATCAGTTGTCTTTACAAAATGAACTTCAATGTTGTCAGCTTCAACATGATCTTTAATAAAGTGATAGCAAAGAGAAATGCGTTTTGTTTTCGAATGTTGCATAGGATTGTGACAAATGCGTATGACACTTTGTGAATCACAATACAACGGAATTTTGTTCATGTTGATTGCATAATCTTGCAGTTGACTTTGAATCCATATGATTTGAGAAGTGCAAGTTGCAACTGCAACATATTTTGCTTCTACCGTGGAAATCAAAACACGTCTATTTCTTTGATTGCTAGCTCATAAGCTTCCCATCTAAAAGTTGACATCCATCACTTGTGCTTTTTTCGATCAAGTTGACACCCACCAAGAGCAGCATCTGAAAATACTTGAATGAAAAACCTTGTTTTCGAAGGATACTATAAACCTAACAAAATTGTGCCCTTGAGATAGCGAAAATTATTCTTCACGGCAGTAATATGGGGTTCTCTAGGATTCGATTGGTACCTTGCACAATTACACACAGAAAACATAATATCAAGTCTACTAGCCGTAAGGTATAGCAGCGAACCTATCATGCTTCGATACAATGTGAGGTCAACAGTTGGTTTGTCCAATGATGGATTTAGTCTTGTTCCAACTACCATTGTTACTCACAATTTTGAACTATTCGTCATTCCGAACTTCTTAAGTAGATTTCTTGTATACTTCTCCTGAATTATGTAAATTCCTTCTATGCTTTGATGAATATTTAATCCTAGAAAACTGTTTATCCTCCCCATCACGCTCATCTCAAACTGACTTTTCATCATATTTTCAAATTCAATTAACAATTGAGAATTAGTTGAACCAAAAATAGTATCATCGATACAAATTTGAATAAGCATGAGATAAATCCCAACTGTCTTTCAAAAGTGAGTGGGATCAACAGATCCTTGTTTAAATTTCGAAGATTTTAAGAAATTAGTAAGAGTGGCATACCAAGCACATGGAGCTTATTTAAGACCACAAACAGGTTTGTCTAAAATATAACAATAATCAAGGTATTGAGAATTAACAAAACCTGGTGGTTGTTCAACATAAACCATTTCTTCGAGAACTCCATTGAGAAAAGCACATTTAACATCCATTTTATATACATCAAAATCTTTATGTGCTACATAGGCTAAATAGATTCGAACAGCCTCGAGTCTCGTGACAGGGTAAAGGTTTCTTCATAATTTATACCTTCTTGTTGCGAATAACCTTTAACAACTATCATTGCTTTATTTCCCACTATATTACCTTCTTTATCAGTTTTATTTTTGAAAATCCATTTAAGACCAATGATAGAAGTATTTTTTGGGTTTCGAAACAAGTCTCCAGACCTTGTTTCGTTCAAACTCAGCCAATTCAGATTGCATAGAAACAATCCAATCGGGATATTCCATAGCAATCTTTACTAACTTTGGTTCAATTTTTGAAATAAATACATTGAACATACAAAATGTGACATCCCCAATTTCACAGCCAGAAAAGACCGATTTCGTTTATGCTTTTATAATAAAATCAGACTAACTTTTTAAGAAAGGTGTTGCGGAATTTGTTCCCAGAACAAAATATGATAAAAATTTATCATACCATTTCTTAAAGAAATGTATTTCCATTGAATTACAAAACTCGGGATGTCATCATCAGTACAAATCAAAAGCATAACCAAAACATCATAATCCATAAGAAAAAATTGGCCTTGAATACAATATAGGCCTTTACAACATTCCATATATTTTCTACTGGCCTTTAAACCCATAATCTCTCGTCAGATCATCCAACTATGCTCTTGCCACTACCTTTAATACAAAGAACTGAGTGGGTTAAACTAGGGAGCCTGGTGAGCATATAGGGTTTTCAACAAACAATAAATAAGTTTATTAATTTCATCCAACCAAAGAAACCCTTATTACACGTTCCCGTTATCCTCACTTTACGTCCCTAAAGCATCTAATAAAAGGGACCTAGCCTAAGGATCATCATCGGTGTAACAAGAACGCTTATGGGATACCTATCTGGTTTATGTTAAATAAGGCAAACATGAGGGGGATGGAGTACACCTGGTGAACACTTAGTTAAAATAAACACCTATAGGTTGCAAGCCTGCTAGCGTTCCACTGGACTTCCTAGAAATGTTTGTGGTGGTCACCCATATTCTGCTAGATGACTGGATCATCGTCAACATCGAGGCCTCTCATTATTGTACTTCATCACACACCAACTATTTCATCTACCCATGTTTTACCCAACATATTCGTAGATATAAAATACACATACAGTTCATATCTGAAAACGAAGTCTAAATCTTTCATCCAATATAGATCTCAAAGTATTTTATATATATATATATATATATATATATATATATATATATATATATATAGTTTAGGTCTGAAGAGATAATCTAGATCTGAAGAGAAAAAGCTTAGATCTGAAAAGAAAAAGTTCAGATCTTTCATCCAACACACATCTCAGGTAAATAGATAATATACATACACATAGCACATAATTTATATAAAATACTTCATATCTATGTGTAAGATGAAAGTGGCTATATACTCACACGATAAGGTGATGATTTGGACAGGAGTTCATTTCTTAAAAAATCTTCTTTGATGAAACTCGGAGGTTTTCTTGAAAACCAGGTTCTGTGCGAGTGGAGTTCCGAACCGAAAAACTCTTTTTCTTGGAGTCTTTGGCACTCTGTGGATTTCTTCTAGTGATAGGGAGGTTCCCTAGGCTTCGGGGGATTAGAGTGGCTTGAGAGAGTGTAGAGAGTGAAAGAAATTGTGAATTTGCAAAGTAATTCAGGCAGTCTCACATCATATTTATAGGAGGCTGGCCTCGGCTGCACAGGGCGTTCCTCGGAGGGATGCAGTGTGTTTCGGGTGCACAACACGTTCCTATCAACACAGCGAGTTCCGAGGGGGCGTTTGTCCGAAGCTAGCTAGGGTGAAGTGGCCTTGTCCTGACTGAGTATGCGAACACGAGGCCTAGTGCTCCATTGCGTTGGGGGTTCCTTCGGATAAGCTTCGAAATGTGTGCCTCGAACTTCAAAAATTCATAACTTTCGCATACAAGCTCTGTTTTTGACATTCTTTATTCATGCATAGGCAGGACTGTTCTCTGCAACTTTTATTTAGACTCCGTCGGCTAATTTTGACTTTATTTTTAAA